AGAAATATAATGTTTCTAAACTATTAAGTAACTAATTATTAAATACTTATAGATTAAGATTATTTTCAAGGATTAGGAAAACTGGAATTAACTTCTTATAAAGTTTATTTTAATATTTTTATTCTTATTAATATTTATTAATATTTATATATTCTATTTTTATCTTATAATATTTCTAAATATTTATTATTATTACTAATCAAGCCACCGGAGTAAATTCTTCAGAAACTTAAATTATTAATTCAATGAATTTATAATCTTAATTTAATAATAAGCACTTTTAAAATATTTTATAACTATTTATTAAGTATTTCTATAACTTAATTTCTTTATAATATATAGTTTAAGAATTTCTATATACAGTATAAAGTGTTAATCTTAGCTAATATTTATCTTGCTTTTTATAATAAGAATTAAATTAAAGTAATTATTCAGAAATAGCACTTATTAATATATTTAAATAAGTAAGATATTTATAAACTAATTTTTTTAAAGTATTAATCTCTATATCTAGATAAGTACTTTTGAAGTACTTTATAATAGTTATTACTCTGCTTAAGATCTTTACTAGTGAAAAATCTATAAAAAATATTACTTACTTTTTAAATAAACTTTTAATCTTATAGTAAGAATATTAAAAAAACTCCTTTTTTTTAATTATATCTATAATACTAATATTCATAGTCTAATTCTTGATATAAATTCTAAGTAATATAATAATAAGTATTCATTAATTACTTAATAATTTATTAGAAAATACTTATTAAATAATTAGGATTAGAATAATTTCTTTTTAAGTTTGATTTATAATATCAAGAGAGTATATAATATCTTTAATATCTTATTATTTTTTATAGAGTTTATTTTTAACAAAAAATTTTAAAGTAATTAAAACTAGATTCAAAAGAACTCCTTTATAAAGCTAAATAATGGATCTATTGAATTATATTTTAAAAAAGAAGTATAATAAGTTAATTAATTTATTTATAAGTATTTTTTATATTCTTTCCAAGCAGTTTATAAGTACTTGTTAACTAGTTTAAAGAATATGAAAATAAGAAAGTTTAGAATTAGATTATTTAAAAGAGAAGTCTAATCATAAAAGTAGATTTAATTAAAGCTTATTCTAAAATTTTATTATATTACTTTAATTAATTAAAAAATTATGTAAATACAGTAAAACAGTCTTATTAAAAATTATATATTTCAGAAAAGTTACTCAACCTGATTAAAACTGTAAAAAAGTAAGTACTTTCTAACTATTTAAAAACCAGTTATAAACTATCTTATACGAAACTTTAATTAATATATAAACTAGTTCTACAAAACTTAATAAAGATAATATTTTATAATATAATAGTTATTATAATTTCAATATTTATTATTTCTATTATACTTTGAATATAAAGATGAATTATCTACACTATATAAACCAAAAACATAAGTAATTAATTTAAAGCTATTTAATATATATTTATTAATTAATTCTCTTAAAGAGCTGTAAACATTATTATTCTATATTATTTAATAATTCTGATAATCAAGCTTTATTAATAACTAAATTAGAAATTAAATTAATCTTTCAGATATTTTTATAGCCAGATAAAAATCAGTATATGATTTAAAGTACTTTAAAAGTACTTAAAATATTTAATAAATATCAATAATATATTTAGATTAACTATATTATCTTAAAGAAGTCTTCACTGTCCTGTCTCTGTTAATATATTGTATATAAAGTAATAATATTAGAAACTTAAAATCTGAAAGCTTAAAGCTAAAATAAAAAAAACATATTATTAAAAGCTTAAAAATAAAGTATAAGAACTTAATCTTCTGGAATACTAACACTATCTATAAATTAAAAAATGATCTATTTTAATTAATTAATTATTTATTTTTAAGTAATTTATAATTAATTCTATCTAATATATATTTATATATATATATGCTTAAATAAATCTTTTATATATAATACTTTAAATAATCTTTAATAATAAATTTATATTATAAATCAAATTATTTTTTTATATTTATATATCTATAATCTTTATTAACTGATCTTTAAAGAATTTAAAAGTAATTCTGAATTATTAAATTATTATTTATATTCTTTATTAAAAAACCCTGATTTTCTCAGTAATTAGAAAGTACTTGAAAAACAGTTTAAAAGTACTTAAATAAATAAATCTGTAGAAGACTGAATTCGGGAATAAAGTTTTTTATAATTAGAAAAATAAAAGTTATTATATTTATTAAAGTAAGACTTATAAAATATAAAATCACTAAGTTTAACTATCTTACGCTGTATATTAATCAGATATAGCTAAATAATTAATAAATATTTTAAAAGTAGTTTAAGATATTAAAAAATTACTTACTTCTCTTTTTTTATTATACAGTAGATGGGGAAGGTTAAAATTCTAATCTAAAATTAAAAAAATATTAATATTAACTTTAATTAAAATAAATATTATAAACTTTTCAGTATTTACAGTAGTAATACCAGGCTTAATACTAGTAAAAAGACTTTTATATTATTTTAAAGTGATTAATAAATTTTTTTAAAGCAGCTTTAAACTAGTTATTAAATATATATTGATTATAATATTAATCTCAGCTTAGCTAGCATATCTATTATAATTTCTAGATTTAAAAATTATATTCTTATAAATACATAGATAGGTATATATGTTATTAATTAAAGAAAACTATTACCAAAACAGTTATAAAACAGTTAGTAACTAGTTTATAATTAATAAAAAAAAACTTATTATAATCTTACTGCAGTCCAGCATCCAGTAAAAAACTTCTTTATAATAAATCTTATATTTATACTTCTTATTCTAAGCAGTTTAAAAATTAATAATAAATAGCTAAAATAATATTTAAGCAGTTCTTAACCACTTAATAAATACTTAATAAGTATTTAAAAATAGAGAAAGTAAGCTTACTTACTTATACTTAGAAAGCTCTAAATATCTATTACTTACTTCTTTAAGATATTATTAATATTATTTCATTTTACTAAAATATATTAATATTTTATCAGCATTTCATCTCAGAATTAATTAAGTAATAATAAATAACTTAATAAGTAATATTATTGATATTTAATTTCAGAGCAGCTATGCTGGTTGGTTAGAGAAAAAAGATTATATATAGTAGTAATATAATATAAGAATATTAAAAGATATAATATAATCTAAAATTTACAGTATTAATAAGTAACAGCTCACTTAAAACATCACGTGACTAAAACTGATTACTAACCAGCAACAGACCGCGCGACCGAAAGAACGGACCCGAGCGACCTGCAACCACAAGAGAACCTATCATGCATGGAATACCCAGGATAATAACCTGACGTGGATGAGCAAATCCTTACCCAGAACCTCATTCTGCCACTCCGAACTAGGTACAGAGGTAGTAGTACATCTGGTACGGAGTACAGATAGGTAGTACGTACTAAGCCAATTATCAATCGCCAGTAGACTGACTGCCTAGGTAGGTAGGAGTGGCGGTTATTTGTGGAACGGTGTATATCATAGGCTGGATAGTGGATGCGGGAGTCGAGGACTCTGGTGGCCCGTGGGGGGGTCGACTGCGGGCCTGAAGCTCGGCCAGCGGGCCAGGCCATCTGTTTAACACGAAAAGGCGTTAGCAACGTCGACTACTGCACCAGTTATGCAGCTAGTCAAGTCACCTCAGCAGCTAGGCTAAATTGGGCATGGCCTACCTATCTAGTATCTACCTTAGTTCCCACTGCTAAGTCTGCTATATCCTCGTTGAAGTGACTGCTATGCCGGCTGTGCAATGTCCACAATCTGAACGATCAGTGGCCCGAGTGTTGTTTGGCTTGGTCAAGCCTCAGGAAAATCAGAAGCATTGCTCTATGTGGCTTTCATGGGGTGCAGAACGGAGTGACCGGAGGGTATCTGGATTCACGAAGGTATTTTCTGTTGCCACTGCCAACAGGTACTATGTACTATGAGGTAGGTGCTCCTCTGCTGCACAGCTGTTGAACCGATCATGTAGAATCCAGTGAGCAATTGAAATTAGTATTGTGTAACCTAGCTCTGGGCTTCTCGGAAACACTGTGTAGATATCTCCAGCAATACTTTGAGGATTGGATCTCTTACAAGGTGCGACATGTAGCGTTGCCCGTAAAGCAGTGCTTGATATAAGTCCCAACTATCTAATAATAAAAAGACCCGCGAGAGGGGTTTCTCTGCATATTTGGCCTTTTAATTGTACAGAATGTACGGAGTATCCGCGGGCAAGAACTGTATGGCTGTATGATACATAATTCCTGCCATGACAGATGGTTCTACCCACAGAAACGGCTCGTTTCCCCCTGGTGGGTAATACCAACTACCCTGTGTGCCATAACTATGCCCTTCATATGCCTTTGATTTTGGTCTGGAATCTTCCTATCTTTCCTCCATGTTCCACTCTGGGGGGTGGGGGGGGGAATAGAAAACAGATCAATACCCAGTTACTACGAGTAGTGGTATTTGTCCAGCTTATGATGTCAACATTCCACATGCCCAGGCAGAGCAGCCCCTCCAGCAATTAGTCGGGAATCCTGGAGTTCCCCTGTCTTGGACCAGTTGGCAACAACATAAGCATATCAGACGATGGCGGGAATGCAGGTCATGCTTCCCCCGATACACTAATGTGTGTGCATCAACAAGGTACACCCCGGCTAATCTTGCAGGTAACTTTCTAGAATGTCTCGATCGCAGCAAATGTACTCCGTACTCTGGTCTTAACGTAGGCCAGTGGCTTATATTACACATCCTACGTCCTCATGACGTCCCGCAACAATTCTAGCTGCCTGTCCATCATCCCCTTCCCCCAACATCTTTCGTCCACGTTATAACAATATTAATGTTTTTATACCATCCTGAAAATGCATTTAGCCACGGTGATCAGACACTACTATGTATATACGCGGTACAACTCATATTGTTCAGTCGCCTACAGGGATTCTCATTGTTGTCGGAGTAAATTTTTGCTCAGAGTCCCAGTATATACCACTGCATCACAGGTTCATCAATCAGATACAAACATAGGAGCAATTCGCAGTATAATAAGACTACTTGATTTTTAGAAACAATCCCGAGGAGTCCACGGCCAGACTGCAGGATCAAACATGACCTCAAAGTCCACACCTTCAAACAATCCAACAGCTCCTTACAAATCGAAATCCCCTCCCAGCCCTTCAACTCCCCCAGACTCAACATCCAACTTCTCGTACAGGCTCCAACCCCCTACTTCTTGACCATCGCGGGTAAAGAAGATGTCAACATTGGCCTTCTCGTCTTCATTTGCCGGGGCTGGAGGCGTTTTGATGGGGAGTCCGAATGTCACCCCCAAGCCAACAGTCTCTCCCAGTCTAAATTTATTCGTGAGGCTCTTCCCACCCCAGGAGTCATTCACGAAGCGGCATCCATCATCAGAGAATACACCAAGGCTCCCCCTTTCCCAACCTGGAGATCGCCAGCTGGGGTATGGTTGTGCCACGAATCCGATAGAAAACCCGCTGTCAGCGGTGGACTGTGTTGTCGGGCCTACACGAGTACCGAGTAGTCTGGCTTCGAAGTATATTGTTTTGCTTGTTTTTGTAAGGAATGGAGAGTCCTCCATGGAGAAATAGAGGGGTAGGTTCGTCGTTAGAAGACAATCGCCATTTCCGTCATTTGTAGATCCTCTCCAACGCCCCTGACAGGCCACAGATATGTTTCCGTGAAACCCTGGTGATTGTGAAGGTCTCATATCATAGTATCTGCGTACAGAGCTGTACACAGCATCCGATGGTTCGACGGGAAGATGTAGAGGAAATTTATCGCAGAATTCATGAGCATGATTCGCATCGCTCCAGTAAGCATCCCCAGTATCGGAGCAAAAAAGCCCAGCTATGGAGGTGGCGAAAATGCCGCCGTATCAGGAATAATCTTCGGGGGCCCCGAAGTTCTGTTTCCAGTAGCCATAGTAACAGAATACGGCGAGGGTTGGTATGCAGTAAATTTAGGCCGTGCCTGTTGAATTGTGTTTTCGGGTTGGTCTGCCATCACAATTAAACGACGCTTGGGGTCGCACCAAACAGAGGAGCTAATGGTACTTATGAACTTATGTAGAGCTTCACCTAGATCGTCCTTGGAGACGATTGCAGTACTGAATGCAGGAATGGTGAATCGTAGCAGACGTTGGTGCGGTGGCTAGATTGTTGTCGCCCGAGTGCCTACCTAGTCTTAAGAGACCCTGTGATGGAAATGACGGCGTCACATATACATTGCCCGCATCTCTTTTTGTCTCACTTATCTCACTTATTCGAGTCTATGCACATATGTCACATAGTTAGTTAGTTATATATACTGCTTAGATAATGTTAACTGGATGGAACCCCGTGGAGTTAAGTGTGGGGTACCAGGTCTCTTAGACGGTTAGACCATTGGACGAAGTAGTAGATAGTACTGATAGATCGGAGGGAGGAGAGATGCCAGGTCCATCGATTGGGAAAATAGAACCGTACGACAGGAAGCGAGGAGAATCACTTATACTATAGTATTATGTGAATCAGTATTCCATACTGCTGTGTTTCAGTTCCTCATTTCTATAAAAAGACATGGGGTCGATAATGCCCAACCCCACCCCAGATCCGAGTCCGATTGTATTGTTTGTACCTAACTGTGCAGCTGAGGTTTCAGAACATGTAAGCCCATCCAAATTCGATTTTCCTACGCTAAGCTTACTGTCCGTCCTGAGGCCAGTCGTAAATGCGACCGACCCCTATGCCACTCAATGGCCCCTTGCCGTACTGCCAGTCTACTTGGCTCTCTCTCTCTCTCTCCTGGGGCTTCTGCGTCCGTAACTCCCTTTTTTTCGTCTTTGGCCCACTCCCTGGTAAAGCTCCCAGATGAGATAATGCGACCTCGATTTTGATCAATCATATTTTAGGCTGTAGACTATCTAGTCCCTTTGTTACACAGCGCACACTTTCAACACTGCGCTGATCTTTTCAGACCAAGACTAGCCCACGTTTTCTCGACTATATCTCGACCTATTCCCCATGGTGCTATATTTTCATGGACAATGACAACGCATATGAATCTGCCGCAGGACACTCCAAGTTCATCAACATGGATCGCAGTGGACAGAGCAGAAAACCACGTAGGTCATCCTTCTCGCAGCACCTACAGCGGGTCTTCCATTGGGATAAGCATGTTACTGTAAGTACTTTCTGTCTCAACAGCCCTCCTATTCCTCTGCCTCCAGGAAAGATGTATTGATAATGTCACGAAGCAAGAAAAAAGTAGCCGAATCTCAGACCCATTAGAAACCGCTTTTACGAGAAGCCATCGGCAAGAGCAACGGGCATTACCGCACACAGACGAGTTCATAAGAGACAATATAAGCAAGTCGACATCCTCTATTGGCACAAACGAGGATGCCGTTTCACAGACACCTCAAAATTCAAGGCTTTCAGTCCTTAACAGGGACGGGCTCAAGAAGTTACCAGCATACTCTGTTAGTCAAGGAGCATCACAAATATCCGATCATTCTTTCGTGGGAAATGCTTTCTACAAGCAAGAATTATCTGGTTCGCCTTCTCGGATCAATAAAGCGGTTCACAAGAATGAAAGGCGCGCTACAAGACGCCTAGAGGCAGAAAGGTTAGAGCTCGAAAAACGGCTTCTAAAACTTGAACAAACCGGACCAGACCAGGGAAATGGTCTGCAGAAGAAAGAAACCCGCCGTCTCACGAAGAAACAGCCAATTAGAAGCTCAAGTAGGGCATCAAGTGTGAGTGCGGATGAATGCTCCTCGACCCGTTTATCCTCTTTATTTTCAAGCTCACAGCGCACTTCTCGGTCCCGATCGAGTTCTTTAAACGAAAGCGACAAAGAACCTCCGAGACACCCACTGATTGATGTTAGAGAAGCAGTATCAGGACCGGACCTGGGGATACAATCAATTCGACCCCATGTCACTCTGACAATGCCTGAGCGTTTAGGAGCTATGATATCTAGAGAGCTCGCCACTAGCAATGCGCTGCTCCCACACCGACATAATGGGGTGGCAACCGAGGCGAATACACACGGTATAGAGTCAAGGACAGATGAGGCTGGTGATCATCAGTATCATTATGAAAAAAGCTTGTCGCATGGACTGGCCCCCTTGCAAAGTCATCGAGCAAACATTGAGCGCAACATTCCCAGGGTAGCATCGACAGCCCCAAGTCCGTCAGCTCCACCCGCAGATCTGGACCGCCTGTCATTTGCGGCAACACTTAACCTTGGAACGAGGGGATTTGAAGCCGTGCATCATTCATCGACAATTACTTTCCCAAACCTAGCAACTAAGCAGGGGAACCAAAACCACAGAAACTCTAAAAGTATCTGGAAAACACATATTGAATCTGATATTGGACCACATGCAGCGATCTCACCTGTTCAGCCTTCAGCTGCTTTACAAGGAGAGTTATCGAAGACTCCCTCGAACAAATCTCCTACAGACCGCTATCTACAAAGACCGCATAAGAAGTACATACCATCGCCCCTTGCAGAGTCCTCATCCTTGGACGGCAATTCCAGCTTGTCTCTCAACTCTAAGAAAGCTACAACGATGCTAAAATTGCAGGCCTCCGGTAACGCGGAACAAACTCCGTCCTCAGTTTCGACCAAGAAGGATGAACATCCTAGATATGACCGGTCACATCCCAGACCTACAACGCGGCTTCTGACAACAGACGTTAGACAATGCGAAGGCGTCGATGACCCAGTTATCAGTATTATCCGAGGGCCACAGGAGAAATCGCCAGACAGGGGGTCGTATCCCTGGGTCTACGGCACGAAAAGAAGCAGCTCAGTTGGTTTAAGCGGCCACGGGGTGAAGTATATAGGACAGAGCGAGAGCGTGGGATTTCAAGATCCTAGACTTCATGACAAGACCCTTGCATTTCAAGAAAACCTCTCTCGCGGCTCTCAGAATGTGCCTCAGTCAGAGAGACTTGAAGCATGTCATGTCTCCTCCAAGAGCAAGATTTCGCAACCGAGCGTGTCCAACTCATCATTAGCCACGTCTTCCGAGGAGCCACAGTCAGAAGACTACGACACAGCAGATGAAGCTCGCTCACCTGTTTTGCTTGCTCAAGATCATAATGTTCATCTGGTTAGGTGCCCAGACCATGGCACTATACCGACCGGTGTTAATGTTGCTGATGGTGACATGCTATTCAGTCTCAGAACTTCAACCGCTGCAGTGCCCGACAGGCCAGAAGCAAGAACGGACGGACGCATGGTGAACATGAGAAACTTACAGGCTAACAGTTCGATTGGCATGCGCTTTGTCATCTGCTGCCACTGTAGCCACTGGCATGATATACCATCGGATGTGTATGCGAAACTATCGCCGCCCGACACCCCTTCAGTCGTCAGAGCGCGGAGACTCTCCTCCACCCAGGCAAGCAAATCTACTCTTACGAAGCATACCATCTCGAACTTAGCGAAAGGTAAACTATTCGGGGCACCCTCCAATCTATCGGATTCTGGGCCTTCCGCCTCTACCACGAAGACCAAAGCATCGATGTCTACAGTGCAGTGCTGCTGGTGCAGCCATGATATGAATAGGTCATGTTGTCAGGGATGGACAGCCATTGTTCACATGTGTCGGAGGCATCACTGACAATGTGACCAAGTGGATAAATTGCTGACGAAGGGGCGTTTAAGACTTCAACTACTGCCTCACCTGTCCTCTAACCTGCAAATGCAGCTGTTTCTAGTTCCGTGGGCCTAGAGATTAGCCTGCCTGCCACTCACTTCACGAGATAAAGCGTTCGGTTGTTTAGATTAGGAGGGCCTGAGGGCGTCCCCTGCGGAGTACAGGTTATGTATATAGGAGGGAAGGAAATATAGTCGCTGCTAAATATCTTGGCATTATCAGCCCCCAGAAATGATATCGTTAGCAATAAGCGGAAGAGGCGAGATAGATTGATACGGTGAGAATTGTAGAGTGGGGAGTTGGGCTGAAGAAGACCATGCTGGTGGGTGGTGCCGGAGTGTCGATAGTCTATTTTAGTCCGATAAGTCTTGAACTACTACCAAGGTACCACCCACCTCCTCCGTAGCCCCCCTTCCCTTCTCTTCCACACCCCCTGCTCCTCCGACTCCTTTTGCCAAACAGAGGGCCATTTAATGGCTTGTTTCTGGCGCCATGGTGCGTCAAAGGAGCCTTTCAAATGCTTCCTCGGCTTCTTCTCTCCCTGAGAGGAATCAGGTATGTATGGAGGTGGTATTTCATTGTGTTGATCACGCTCGGCCATTAGTGCGCCGGGTTCAATGCTCCTCTGATCGGCTGCTTCTAATACCTGGCAGGAGCTCGAAAGCATGTACGACTATCTGGCCAAGGTTATTCTTCTGGGGCCGAGCGGGGCGGGAAAGTAAGTACACTGGGTGATGATCATTCACACTTCCCCAGGCTTCGTCGGTCACTGATCTTTCCACGACTGCAGGTCTTGCGTATTACACCGGTTTGTGAAAAGTGAATGTATGGTGGTTTCTGATCCCTTATTCACTTGCCCACACATCCATACCCTCCTGACCTCCCCCGGTTGGATGGCCGGCTCGCTAATACGCCGTTCGTTTGTAGGGAGGGTGCTGTCGTCGCAAACGATCGGTGTTGAGTTCTCCTCCAAGATCGTCAAGTTGGGCACCGGGCCCCGGCGAACAAGGATCAAGTTGCAGCTGTGGGATACGGCTGGGACCGAAAGGTTTCGATCCGTATCCAGGTCGTATTATCGAGGGGCTGCAGGGGCTATTCTCGTCTATGATATAACGTCCCATGCGTCATTTGCCTCTCTCCCCACGTTCCTCATGGATGCGCGTGCTCTTGCTTCCCCCAACCTCAGCGTCCTACTGGCTGGTAACAAGTCAGACCTAGCCTCCGACGCCTTGCCCGGCGATATTCCTGATGACAGTATACGGCCTCCTCCTACACCGTCTAGTACATCCAGCAAACGGTCTTTTCCATTTGGCTCAAGCGGCGGCTCTGTTCGTTCAATCACAAATTTCGACACTACGACAAGAATGACAGCTACGCATGCACTTCATGGTCGTGAGGTCGGCACCGAAGAGACATCACGCTGGGCCGCTAAGTCTAACATCCCGGTTGCCGTCGAAGTATCGGCCCTCACGGGTGAGGGGGTAGAAGAACTATTCAACCGGCTGGCCCGGATAATCCTCACAAAAATTGAATTGGGCGAAATTGACCCAGACGATCCGCAGAGCGGGATTCAATATGGTGACGGCGGTCTCTACGGCCATGGCACGAGTGATGGTTCCAGCATTCGAAGTCGCATGTCCCTTGACGACGGTGCTGTCCAAATGCATCGTAGACATCCAAAAACAAACACCAGTAATAACTGGAAGGCTGGTATGAGAGAGTGGGAGGATGTCTTTCGGTTGAGCGATTCGCACCAAAGGAGAGGTAGCGGCTGCTGCTGATTTTCTTAAAATGAACTATATACTAATCATCAGCTTTATTCTTCGCGGTTCCCTTGCCTTCCTATATTTCGATCAGTCATACCCGCCTCAAGCTATTTTGCTTCAACTTTGATGAGTTGTCTGAACCCGCCGCCGTCCCTTGAGCTGATTAATAGAACGGATCGTCGGTAATTACTTGCAAGTGGCTTGGTGGTAACGTACTCTGACGTTTGGTGAACTATCTCTTTGCGACCTCTTTTCACTCACCGCTTGTGTGGAAATCCAAAGCTAGTGGACTTGTTTCATGCAGCACGACACCGCCGATGGTCAAGCGCTATGAATAGCGTGTTTAATAATGGAATGGTTGAATTTCTAGGAGCTCATGTCCTCACTCGCTCTTGTGTAATCTCATTCAACCCCACCGGTCACTTTTTATGATTCCCGCTATTATCACTACATAAGGTGCCAGCTTCAGACGGCAAGATCACCCCAGCATTATCTTAATCGGGCAAGTAACCTGAGCAGGGCATGGGACTGGACCCTGATCCTGCCTCTCTACATGCATGCCTCGCCGGTTTGCCTGGGGACGCACCAGCTTGCCTTACTACCCCATAAAAGACAGGGGAGAAAGGGTAAGATATACCAAGGGAGAGAGCAGCGATTATAATAAAGAGAGAGCGGATTGGTGGAGGCATCGATGGAAATCGTTTGCGGTCTGCCTCCGCTGCATTTGTTACATGTCCATGGTGCCTGAAAGAGTCTCATGAGTCGAGGCCAGCGATAAGAGTCTTGATGCCCTTCCCAGATTTAACCTCTTCGAATGCTCGCTCAGCGTCTTCGAATTGGACAATTCCCGTGATCAGTTCCTTCACGTTAACCTTGCCAGACGCCACCAGCGAGATTGCGAGCTTATAATCACCACTGCCATAACGGAAGCTGCCCTTCACGTTCAATTCTTTCGTGCAAGCTGCCATAATCGGAAAGGTGATCTCGCTTTTACCCATACCACCCTGAACATATGTTCCGCCAGCACGGAGCACATGTATGCCTGTGTGCACTGAGGGCTCAGCTCCTGATGCGTCAATGGCGACATCTGCGCCCGAACCCAGGCCATTTTCCTCGATCATCTGTTGAGCATTCACCGACGGGGTCGCTTTGGCTGGCTCAAATGTGGCAGTCGCCGCATAATTTTTGGCGAACTCCAGCCTGTCCTTCTGAATATCCACCGCGATAATCTTGGACGCACCGTAAGCCTTCGCCACGGCACAGCACAGAAGTCCGACGGGACCGGCTCCAAATACTACCACCGATTGGCCTGGTTTGACACCTGCTTGCTTGACGATGTGTACGGCGACGCCAAGAGGCTCCATAACTGCGGCCTCCTGTAAGGTGATGCTTTCAGGAACCTGATAGCAGAAATCCTCGGGCAGGACGTAATACTTGGCCAGGGTGCCATCGTACGGAGGAGTTGCCGCAAAGGCCATTTTCTCACAGAGGTTATATTTTCCCGCTTTACAAGGCTCGCATCGGCGACAAGGGATACCGGGTTCCATGGCAATGCGATCCCCTACCCTTAAGCTCGTGACTGCAGAGCCAACCTTGCTGATGACTCCGGACGACTCGTGTCCCAGGACCATAGGATCCTTCACAACAAACTGCCCGATAGATCCATGTTCCCAGTAATGAACCTTTATCAGGTCGTTGTCAGTTGGACAGGCCTTCAATCTTGATCCACGGAGTCGGTGACACACGTACATCACTACCGCATATACCAGTGAACCTAACGTTCACAAGTACATCGTGGGGATCATTGATTTCGGGAACCGGCCGGTCTTCGAATTTGACTCGATGGACTCCTTCAAGGACGAACGAGAGATTCTGGCAGTGGTTAGAATCTTATTAGCGATCAGTTTACGTGTGTTATCTCCAGCTGAGGTGGGAGTGACGGGCTTCCATCAACTCAGACAAAAAGCATTCGCGGCACGCACCTGAGCGTTAGATTTTTGAGCGCACATGTTGAGGATGGGTACGCGTAATGGACCAGCTGTTTGAGCAACCTCAGGATAGCGTAGTAAGAGAGGGGATGCTGAAGCTAATGTTTTGCTTTCGAGGCAGAAGGTTAGAAAAGGAGTACGGTTGTGGATTTCTTTTTCGTTGCCTTCTCTCAGCTGACTCTTTATTCAATTCTCTCTCGGCTTTTTGAGATGCACCTCTTTAGTGATCTTGTGCTTTTCTATCCGTGAAAGACATGTATCTAGGGGTAGCTTGGTACCTGGTCATAGGTATGTAAGTAGGGTATGGGGAAGAAGAGGCGGGGTGGGATGCCTCTCATTGGACCATAATTAACCGGCGCTGCGCCCAATTTACCCGGACAGGGCAACTGACCGGTTGATAGTTCAGTAGTAGATACGGAGTACGGAGTACGTCCGTTAAGACTGGGCCTTGACCTAGCTTGGACGAAGGTATCCTTGATCATGATGTATGGAGTAGATAGATACTATCCACAGGACCCGTAGGACGGTTAATAGGTTCTGAGTTCTTTAGCGAGATCTTGAATAGAACCGGTAAATGTGAGATTACTGTTACTCCGTACTGCGATTGGCCTGGCCTGACTGGTTGGTTAGTAAGTAGGTGGGAGTAGTAGTAGTACCTAGTGGTGGTGGTGCGACATGTGCCTACTAATTACTATTAGATAAGAGACGGGGGGCATTTCATACGTATTTACATAACTAACTAGTAGGTACGCCGGTATGACTACACTACCTAGATACTTAGGTATGTACCGCAACCTTACCGCTTGAGGTTTAGACTTGGTTCATGAGCAATCGCTATCGTCCAGGAATACATCCATCCACCATCATCCATCATCCATCGACCCCAATTCATTTGCTTTATACCCAGGACAGCCATTGGTTCATTGTAACCCCTTCCCCGCGATGATCCTAGTATCTTGAGACTCAGAAGATCACGTCGCCACTGTCTAGCTCAGCGTTCGCTTTTCCGTTCCGACCGTCGAAGTCGTCATTCCCCCCCCTCGCCATGATGAGACCCGAATCTGTTCTTCGCTTGCGGGGCACGATGCGCACGATTACACCGAGAATGAGCTGCCGCTTTAGCAGTCAGTCGCTCTCGGTATCCCAAAGGAGAGGTCTGCGTGTTTCGGTCCAGCATCGCGCCGATGAGAAACCCCAGCCCTTCAAGCATCAATTGTATGAAAGTACACAACAACGCCTTAAACGTGAGCGTGCTGAACAGGAACGGTATTCACAGTATCAAACCCAATCACAGGGTGGTCGCTATGCGGCATTGATGTTCGGTACGCCTATTGCCCAAAACCTGCTTCATCAACATCCCTGAATCTCACGAACTCAATTTCTGATGCCACCTTGTTAGCATTGGTTTTTTTTTCCACCGGAGCGTATTATCTAGGTTCATTGAAGCCTGCTGAGCTTCCTACCTCTTCGACGACGTCTTTATCTGATATAGAATCTCCCCGACACAACGCCTCCCCGTCAAACCTTCAGGCTGCTTGGGCCGATTTCGTTGATATCCTGGGGAAAGAGAATGTCTCCACACAAAATGCTGATTTGGAAATGCACTCGGGGTCCGACTGGTCTTCCTACGCACTGAAAGAAGATGAAAGACCGTTCCTAGTTCTCTACCCATCTACTACCGAAGAGGTGTCCCGAGTAATGAGAGTTTGTCACCAAAGGTTGATCCCAGTGACTCCTTACTCAGGTGGTACCAGCTTGGAGGGTCATTTTGCACCCACGAGGGGAGGCGTATGCATTGATTTCCGTCGCATGGATCGTATCCTGGGGCTCCATAAGCGGGATCTAGATGTTATCGTCCAGCCTGCCGTCGGTTGGGAGGAGTTGAATGAGCGGCTTTCTCAAGATGGGCTCTTCTTCCCCCCTGACCCGGGTCCTGGTGCTATGATCGGTGGCATGATCGGCACAGGCTGTTCGGGAACAAACGCATATAGATATGGGACCATGCGTGATTGGGTTCTTTCTTTGACTGTTGTGCTTGCAGATGGGACTATCATCAAAACGAGACAACGTCCACGAAAGTCGAGTGCTGGTTACGATCTCACTAGACTTTTTATTGGCAGTGAAGGCACCCTGGGGCTAGTGACGGAAGCTACATTGAAGTTGACGATCAAACCTAAGAGCCAAAATGTCGCTGTTGCAAGCTTTCCCACGATACAGAATGCGGCAGAGTGTGTGACGCGCGTGGTGGAAGAAGGCATTCCAGTGGCTGGTCTGGAAATCCTAGATGATGTGCAAATGAAATGCATTAATGACAGCCAGTCCACTAGCCGACACTGGAAGGAATCACCGACTATTTTCTTCAAATTCACGGGAACGCCTGTGGGCGTCAAGGAGCAAATAGGTATGGTGCAGAAGATTGTTTCTGCCAGTGCGGGTCGGTCCTTCGAGTTTGCCCGAGGTCCAGACGAAATGCAAGAACTATGGAGCGCTCGGAAACAAGCGCTTTGGAGCGTCATGTCTATGAGGAGAGGACCTGAAGACCATGTCTGGACGACCGACGTGGCTGTCCCTATGAGCAAATTGCCTGAGATCATTGAAGCTACGAAGCATGACATGACCGAAAGTGGTTTGTTAGCTGGAATTTGTGGTCACGTTGGAGATGGTAATTTCCATGGTATGGACATCTACTCAATTGCCCCCACCGAACTTCATATAACTAACCTCGAATGCGCGATAGCGATCATCCTTTTCAATCAAGATGAAAAAGCAACGGCCGAGGCTGTGGTACACCGGATGGTAAAGCGAGCCGTCGAACTAGAAGGTACAGTTACTGGCGAACACGGAGTTGGAATTGTAAAGCGGGATTACTTGAAACATGAACTGGGAGAGTCTACAGTGGATGCAATGCGCCGGGTAAGTAACCATACATCCATGTCCCACCATGGCAGTCAGAGTTCTATTGTACTGATGCAAGTTAATTTCTGCCTTCCAGTTAAAATTAGCCTTCGATCCCCTTTGCTTGCTTAATTGCGACAAGGTCGTTCGGATTGAACCTCCGATGACAGGAGAAGTGAAGGAGTGGTAAACACAGAAATCGGTCTTTAGGTGTAGATTAGCACCTGCTTAGGTTCGAAAGTATATACTCATGGAAAGAAGGTGTGGCCATAATTGCCAATATGCCCTTCCGTCTTTCACCAAATTAGCAGAAAATGTTCTCATATGGGTAACCATCTCAGTAAGATAAGTTGACTTTACACTTGCCTATTGCAAGTTCCAGTGGATACTTCCTCGTCATCTGGCATTTAACATTCGCTACCATACTAATGAATCCGGTTACTTGCGATTGGTGTTGATTTCGACTTTATGATATGGTTGGGCCAAGGCGCTTATCACATCAGGCCCGGGTTAGCTAAGAGATTCAGGGCTACTATGTGCCGAATACCAAACCTGAATCAATGTATATAGCCTCCGGAATCACGAGTAGGGGATCAAGTCAATGATGGGTTGTTCCCCTTTGAAACCAAGTTCCGCCCTATAGGTGCGCTAACAAGATGTTGTAAGTAGACAACTTTGGAAGGTGTGGGCTTTCCCGCAAGAGAGTAGGGGGGCGTTAACCCCATAGCTTTGAGAATGTTATGTGATTTGTACATTCGGGTTAGAATTTGGGCCACATCACAGCAGTGCATGGGAGAGTGTATTTTTTTTCTGTGGCGGGTAATGTACAAATAGAGTGCAATTTGGTGACAGATGCTGAACCCAAGTAGAACCAAGCGAACTTGTGAGCAAAAACATGTATGACCTTAGGGAAGGTGCATTTTAAATCACGAGGCCAGCAGCTTTCCAGAGTCCTTTAATAAGTACATATAGGCTCATGTTGAACTTATCTTATGCATGCATACATTTTACTTACCATTAATACTGCGGTAAGTTCAGTTTTTAACTATACCATACTGCCATCGTGTACATGTTCATCAATAAGATGATGAAGTTTAAGAACATGAGAAGGGAGAGGTATTGTAATTTGTAAGGTTCACGAAACCCAAGAAAATGCAACTGTAGATCATTGGTCTCTCTACATCAGTGTGGGATTCAGATGAATCTGGCCATATAATGACAGTCTTGAACACCTTTCTTGGCAGACGAAGCTCAGTGCATGGTGTACCCTACTGTCATCATCATGAGTAGTTGTCGGAAGAGCCGGTAAGTCACTCCGCATTCGTCGCGCCGGCTTCACCGCCGTCTTCCCATAACAATCCAATTCACCTCACTGCTACCACCTCTCCTAGCCTCCCGGCTTCTTTCTTACCCCCCCCCCTTCTCCTCTCTCTCCCTTCTCCCCCTCCCCTCTCCGTCTCTCTCTTCATTTCCGCGCCTCCCCCGTTACTGTTGCCTACCCTTTCTCTTCTCTCCCCTCTATCAATGACGATGTCTGCCATCGAGACCACTTGCCATTGCTTCATCCGTTAAAGCATACCCTCCCGGTCTCCAAGGCTGGCTTACTTCTCCGCTGGTCCACGATCATACCGACCCTGCCTTGCTCCAACTTCCCCCATCGGATCCTTCGATGGTATTGAATGCCGCTTGTTGATTGTTATCTTGTACTTACCGTATATTATTGTTGTCATTTCACCCTGCCATAAAGTTAACCAATCCTCTGATACGTACTATTCTGTCTGGAGCCCAAGACCCTTGCTGTCTTTGCTATTCACTCACGATTTTGCCAACAATGCGTCCTGTAAGGTGCTACTGAACCTTCTTTATCACTTCCGTCAGTGGCTTGAGAAACAAGGCAACGGGGCGTTGCAGAGAATTGGCCCACGATTGATTCCCACGGCACTCCAAAGATTCACACTACAAATTTAAGTGATATCAATCCCTCAGCACTCAAGCACTAAGGAATTTGGTTCGTTTTTACGGATTTATTCTCGTTCGGTTTGCCTGAAGCAGTCTAGTTTCGACGATCGGACGAGGTCACATCGCAATGAAGATAAGGTCTTGGCTAACTTATCTGCCCATTCCAGCGACTCTGCGAATAGCCTATTCCCACTGAATGTAACTGAAGGTCATTTTCACCAGAAGAGAGGGAGATAGGCCCCTAATCTGCGGACGACGTCAACCGATCACCTTTGATTCAGCTTCTTGGATAGGACCAGTTGATGGCTATAACCTACTTGGAATGATTCATCTGTCATTACTGGCTTTTCCTCACGAATATACGACGAGTCAGCGAAAGGCCAAATGCACAGAATGCCATTGCTCAGGAAAGCATCATATAGTGGTTCATCTCCAATCACAGTGGACCTTTCGCGATCATCATTTGAACAGGAAGGGCTGGGAATCTATACAACACATGAGAGGGCACCTCGGGGAGAATTGATCAGCCATCCTATGTCTCGAGAAGATCCATCCGCTCTTCATCGCCAATCCACCAGTGCAATGTCCCAAGTCTCCACTGCCAGCAGTCCAGGCAAAAGTAAGCCGGGCTCTCAATATGTCCATCCAATGCGCCTCGCCCCACGTGCCTATACGCCGCCATTAAACCAGTCTTGTCAAGCCTCGGTGCTTGGAAGCGATGATTCTCACAAGGATTTCTCTACAGGGAGCAACTCTCCGATGCAATTGGGATCAGAGATTTTCTATCCGTCAGTGCGAACCAATTCGAGCAAGACACCACGATTATCATTGCAGACACATGATAGTTCTTCCACAAGATCACCTGGAGTCTCTCAGACCAATATAACCGGCCGTTCATCTTTTGGATACTCGCGAGATAACGCAAGCACCTTAGACACAACGTCACCAGTATCTAGATCATCCTTGGATTTCGTTTTTCGATCCAAGACACGGACAAGTATGGATCCTGTGGCTCGAGCAGCTACGGTACAAGCAGCACGTCAGGCATTCGAAGAGAAGGAAGCTGCCAAAACATGGAGGTTCGAAGCGCAACAGATGAAGGCGGAAGAAAAACAATCGAAGCAGAGAGAAAAGCAGCATTTGCGAACACGTACTACAGACGATGATACAACTTGGGCAGACCGCGGAAACGAAATCCCCGAGAAGCCACAGCTCTCAACACCAATGTCAGAATCGAGTCCGGACACCTGGAAATCACAACCTAAAAACACATGGGTACTCTTTCTAACGTGGTTACGTACCAGAATCTTCAAGTTGCGGAGGAGGATTGGGAAACTAGTCTGATCTTTTTTTCTAGGTATGTGAAATTTAGCGAATTGTTTGTCTATATAAACGGATCACCTTGTCATTCGTACCATGGTATAGAGTACGGTTTTACTAGAAATATCTTAGCTCTTTTGAATCTAGGTACTTGACATCGATGCATTGTTGATAGCCAAGGTAGGGCAACAAAATGGGTTCGAAATCCACTCTGTAGACTTGCAGAACTAGATTGAAACGGAGGTTGTATACTGTTAAAACAGCCTGTTTCAGGCAGCGAGTTCAGCTAATAGTATGAATAGAGAATCAAAGGTTATGTCACATTAGTCCCTTAAGAAGACCGGTTCCCAGCCCCTGCAACTAGCCGGATAGAACATCTACCACGTTGCGGAAAATCATATTGGCAGGGGGCATAACAAAGGGCGGCGCATCGTCAAATACACTAGCCAGCTCCTTTTGCGGGTTCTGGGTATCCCAGTCAAAGTCCATGGAGCTGTACTGTGAATCTTGGGGCTTGCCTTCATCTTGTTGTCCAAATAGGTTTGCCAGGCCTGAACCTTTAATAAGGTGGGTTGTAAGGTCAAGCGAGTGGCTGTTACTCTGAAGGCTCTTGTCTAGGCGGCCAATTCGTTGGACGTTAGCCGCAGAATCAACAACAACATAATCACTGGAATGGACAGCCGACAGCAATGCAACTGGATGGCGCCTAAGCACAGTTTCCGAAAGTAGTGACAATACAGACATGTCGTACACCTGTATGTGAGACTGAAGTAGGCGGTTCTTCCTGGATACGGGAGGGCTTTGCAAAGACTCTGCTGATACAGCAAAGGTCTGCGTCTCGGGATTCACAGCCAACAGACGTGGCTGGTTGGAAGAGATGTCTCCAGGCCCTGGCAGCTCAATTGTCCTTACAAGATCATCGACCGTATCCCAGATGGACACCGATTGCCGTGACGCAATAACAAGATTGCATCCGACGAACGCAGCCGCACTAGGCAGATCCATATACAATCCAACCCTGCTGTAACGAACAGTACATTTCTGTGCATCAATCAAGATGGCAAGTCCACGATTTAGACATGTCGTTGTTCCTAGGCAGACAGCAAGGACAGACCCGTCTTGAGAGAAATCCATGGAAGCTGCACTCAGGGCACCAGCCATTCCAACATCAAAGAATGTCTTCAGGTCAACGGCACTCCGACATTTCCATGTTTCTGTAGGCTGGTCTAGGCCGTCAGACTTTAAACCACTGCGCTGCCTAATACTAGGACACCAAAAGCGCAAAACTGCATCCGAACCGATAGTTGCGAATTCAGTACTGTGTGCCCGTGCAGCAATATGCAAGACACGCGCAGGGCCTTTGTCTGAGAAATGAGGGCTATCAATTCGAGTGACCAATTCCCAAAGGTTGGAAGAGCTACTCCATCTCCAAAACTTTAAGAAGATCTCCTGGGAGTCTTCAGAAAGTCTATTAAAACCAGAATCCCTGTAGTAGAGTGCCTGCATATCTCTCACGTTGGGGCTCCAATTGTCAATTGTGGCCATCCATTTTCCGTCCTTGGAAACACTCAGGTGGCTAACATCCGGGGTAACTATATGTGAGCCTTCGGGACTGATCTTCAGCGTAGTGGCGTTCGTGCGTGCTAGGGCTTGACGCGAGATATGACTGTTCGTGCGAATGTCGTATGTTTGGAGAGTGGACGCATTAACCAAAGGATGACCTTCCCGTGTCGTCTGACGAGAGGCAGGTACAGTGATAAGAAGTTGATCCGGGTTCTGCGGATGCAACGCAGCAGCGACAGCACCATATGAGGGCTGTACCCCAGAAGCATTTTCGCCATCGGCATTTGTCATCTTGGGGCATAGCTGCAAGCCTGTGATGATAGAAGAAGGTTGTAATTCTCGCGCTGACAGGACAATGATCGAGTTGTCGGCTAACTTGACAGCATATGAGTTTCCACTCGTAGAGACGGCTATGTTACCGATCGGCGATGAAAGGTGGGGTAGGAACTGCTTTCTACCAGTGTCCAGCTGCCAAAGGACCATGACCGACTCATTTCCACCTGATATAATGTAATTGCCTTTTCGTCAAAACTTTAGTTAGCGATTTCCCTCCTACCCCCTAATAGTGACTTTATTCTGGAGAACATACCGTCCTTAGACCAACGTACACTATTGACAGAACTTCTATGCCAATGTAGGCGCCGAGGCGTTAGGGTTTTTCCATTCTGTCGGCCTTCCTCATCATCGAGAAAACGTAATATGTCATGGTAGATAAGTATAGAGCCACCTAGTTCACCCAACACAAGGTCAATCTTGTCATATTGTTTCCGGTCTCTTGGGGACCGTGCTGCAGATCGATTTGAAGTTGCGTTATGTCGAACATCAATGCACATGATGTTAACAGGCAAGTTGACCTCTCTCCAAGTATATTGGGCGGGTTCGGAAGGCTTCCCGAGCCGCGTACGGCCAAAGAACACATTCTGATCGCCATATGCCATAATAAATTGGCCTTGGGATGCGATTTTGAGATTGTTGATTTGTACATTAGTCTCTAGAATGATGTTCTCGCGTGATTTTTCATCGCTTGAGTGTTCAATTGCTATTCCTCGTTTTCCATCCTTGCGTTCCCGCAGGAAGAACAAGCAGTCTGATCCAGCATCAGTAAGGCACACTTCGACGGATATTGTCTTGTGGCACGTATCCCAGTACGAAGATTGTTCGCCGGAAAGCCACTCCCACTTGCTGATGGAACCGTTCAAAGTAAAGATATAGAGAATTTTCGAGTCTTCTGGAGAAAGCTTATACCCGACTATGCTATCTCCATCTTTAGCCTGAAGGGTTCGGATAAGGCGCGAAGTTGCAAGAGAATAAACATGGACTGCTGTCTCAAGGCCGAGAAGGAGGTATCTAGCATCACACTTCGTTTAGAGAATCCTTCGGTAACAACAATCAGGAAATGTACTTACTCGTCATCAGGTGTGAAGATTGGATCTAAGTTGCTGTACTGGCCAGCCACCACACTGGTAGAAGACCATGGATTAAGTAGCATCTGGGTCTTCTGTACAGTAGTAACACTGGTGGCGGTTGATGTATTCAGATTATCGCCTCGGTTCTTATTCTCCTTGCATTCAAGCGACTTGTGAGATTTAATCATGTCGTTGTTGATTTGAGATGTGCGACGCCGCTTGATTCGTACATCATCAGTCTGCATTGTCTTGCCCATAGCCGCATCGCCAGCTCGGGATCTCTTTGACTGTCTTCTTGAATCCTGAGAGCCCACCATTGGTATGGTGATATGGTGACCAAGTGAAGAACAGAAATCTAAACAAAATGGGTTGATTTGATGTACAGAACTGAAATACTAGCCATCTGTGTACTGCTGTATTGGCAAAGTCGACTGTGACAATAATGTCTTCAAAAATTCAGGCCCGTTGTCTTCTCTACTATCTCTGATACTTTTTTTTTTTGATTAATCCTGTCGGGTGTGGTTATTCCCTTTGAGGGTTAGCGGTATTTCACAGTCAGCAGCCGTATGCTCTGTACAAGCCTACTATTGCCAAAATTGTAATTTTTGTTCTGGAAGGGCAGGAGGTGGGGTATTATTCTGGAAGTTGTCCAATAGAGGCTCTCATTTCACAAGCTGTGATTAATGGTTTTCTACCATACAGCCTCAGAAACTAGCTGATGGAAGACAAAAACTGCATCCATTGCCTACCAGCAATTAGCGACGAAGGCACAAGAAACAAATATCAGAACTTTTCAGCTATCAAGTTTCTTAAAAGCCTCGGACTTTGTCTGCCATTCTATACATCTAGCCTCCGAGCGAAAGCACCTCAGGAAATTCCGACCAAATGATCATCCCCGTCCGCTGTTTCTCTTGCGGCAAGGTACGTGGCACTCAATCCTCACTTATTCCTTTCTAATATTGTATGGTGTAAATACACAGGTTGTCGGAGACCTCTGGGAGCGTTACCTTCAACTGCTCGATGAGGGTATTCCCGATGGGTAGGTTACATTAGTCGACGTTTATCTGCCATGGCGATCTAACCGGTGCTTGAAAGTGACGCCATGGATCAACTTGGGTGTAAGCGGTACTGTTGTCGCAGAATGATCATGACTCATGTCGATTTGATCGAGAAACTTTTACGGTATGAGCCCACATGTCTGGAAGTACAGCCTGCCTGGGACTCAACTTTCAATAGGTATAATCCCACAGAGAGAGACCGGGCAAAAAACCAAATATGAACATGAGCTTTTCCGGCACCCTCAGCAAAGCTACCTATCGCTTCCTCACTTGCGCAGCGACAAATATCACCGCACTTCACGAAATCAGAATCTGCTACTGCCAGAAGTTGTTGGCCAAAATACAAGGGTTGCAGGGCATGGGCTAAAGATGGACGGCCCTTAAGTTGCATCCACCCTCTTTCTCCATCCTTATCACTTTTTTTTCTATTATCCTTCTACCGTCTGGCCTTTATGAAGGTGTCGGCGTTTTTTTATCCTGGGAACAATACTTGAGATAGTCACGGAATTCAGTCATGGTGTAATGTATGCTATCCCGGGTAGTTCATTGTACTAGATGCACTGATACTTTCTTTTGCTACCCAATGGGTGTAGGTAGGGAAGTGCACATATAAATAACCTTGCGCTGGGTGGATAAGCATGGCATCTGTAGCTGATAATTGAGTAGTGAAACAGCGTTGATCACATATCACATCTGCACTCACAAAACAGCAGCGCAACTATTTCACGACCTTAGATCATCAATCCGGCCCGCAGATTTATCTGAAAGGACAGGGAGCGAATCGGGCCCAATACATAGGTTATGTAGCCTGGGTAACAAGGCACTTTGAATGGTGGATCGGTCTCATGGACTACTGCCTAAACACTACAGGCATGACTTCCATCCCTTCAGGAGCTAGAAAGGCTGAAAGGATGATCTTCTGGTATTTTTCTGTGTGGAATCTCAATAAAAACCTGTGAATATACTATCTAGGGTACTGTAGTTGCTACTACCTATATAGGAGGTACTTACATGTTAGTAGGTACAATGTATCTACCTGGTTGAGTTGAAGGCACAATACGGGGTACTAGTAATAGTGGGCAGTGCGGGGCCAATAAAAAGCTGGAGCACCCCTCCACAGCCTACCGTCTCCATCACTCCGTCATCAATCATATTGGCGGCTAGTACTCGTCGCTACGCCTTAACCCACCCTTTCAGGGCCCCTCAGCTCAATGAATCAGTTACTTTTGTATGTGATTCCCACATAAAAGATACTTTCAGAAAATCTTTAATAACCCAATCATTACAAGAACTGTAGTTTTCAAATTTTTTATTAATTTTATATTTATATTATTTACTAGTAAATACATAAAAAAATTGAGAAAATTATATTAGATTATAGATATACTTGATTTCGTGCTCGATTTATAGACTACTTTTTGATTTTTTGCTAATATAAATTGTAATCAGGATTTAATATTAAAAAATATTCTAATATATATAAGTTTTAAGATTCTAGCTATATTTCTATTTTCTAGATCAAGATTCCAAGGCTCCGGACTATAGTGGTTGAGTTATTAAAGATTTTCTGAAAATACATTTTATATAGGAATCACATATAAAAGTGATCAATTCATTGAGCCGAGGGGATCCGTCGAGCTGTGGCTGACGCAACCCTGAAAGGGTTGGGTCAAGGCGTAGCGACGCGTAAATCACAGTACTTGGTAATGATACACTCCATGTACTAGTACTATGTAGTATTAGTAGTATCTATGCAGTACATGGCAAGTTTAGATTGCGAGTACCAAGAAATACAACACGATATATCTACTCTGCTCATCGACTGGCACATGATACTGAAAGGGTTGGGTACCCCCCTACTCAAGTACATATCTGACTACTTTGCACTGTACTATATACAAAATCACCAACTTTGGAGTTACTATTCAGGTAGGTAGGTAGCATACAACAGAGTACAGTGCAGCTGTACGCTAGTATGCCACAGTACAATGTATTAACTGTGGGCCCATGCATGCCTATTGAGGCTGTCAGTACTAGGTAGGTACGTACTTATGTGCTTGCGGTGATAGGTCTGTCAACTAGCTTCACGCATGGCGTATCGCGACCTAAGCTAAAGCAGAGTAGGACGCGCGCCATCAGGTAATAGAGCAGACCATCCCCCTTCAGTAAGGATGGAGCTGAACTTGCCCGCCGAATTGGGGTTGGCCAACCAATGTACTATCTTCCTTCATCTGCTTCCGTTATCCTGACACCTCAATGCACCATGAGACGCTGTCTCTTCGGTCTACTGCTCTGAAAGTTATTGCCCGCAATATGATAGCTGTCTTCTCTCTTTCTTTCAAGACCTGGAAATTCATTGTTCGCCATTTACTTCTTCGGTAGCTATCCAATATGTAAGGCGGAAGACACATCGCAAATCGATAACCACGCTAATTATATCAGGCTCGATGGCAATCATCGCACTGTACCTGATGAAGTGCTAATACACAATACGGACTCACGTTCAATAACATCAGTTTTCAATGAAGCAGACAGGCGAGAGCCTGATGGTGCTTTCATATGTGAAGTTGGGCCTACAACGCCAGCAGCTTATACACCGCACACTGCAAACAACACTGGGACTGAACTCACAGTATGTATGGTGTTCTTACATCGCAAAATAGAAAGGTATATGTTAGGACTTTCATTGACCTTTAGATTGTGTATAAGATACAAACTACAAATGCAGGTTGCAATGACATCCAAGTCAGATCGGATGACGATGAACCTCCACAATCTGTGATCCATGCACCTGCTGGTTTCGGCAATTTTTTGAGCGGTTCCCCAACCAAGGTTATTTGCCCCTCTGTCTGCCAGGTTCAACTAACCGACTACTAACCCGTGCATCTTGTAAAAAGGTAAATGGTCAACAATGTTCTAACCTTCCTTCTTCATCTCGCTCGGATGATGTACCGTCTTTGGCATCCAATGTTGTGGCATATAGTTACCCTGTCACCGAATCAGAGAAAATAAGAAAAGTACTATAATACGATTTTTAGCTGTTTTGCTTTGCCATACTGACCACCATTAGAGAATCCCAAACGGTCCAACATCACCACCACCGCTAACTACATCCATTCAACCTGCCAACGACTGGTGTGAAAGACCTACTCCTCGCGCGCAAACGAGGCAGGACTTCCTAGACATCAGGCAAAATACGCATTCTGTTAATCAGAAAGAAGTAAACATAGCCCACGATCACCACAGGGAGAAGCCTTTAGTTACTGGGCCCTCTGTTGACGGAGGGTCTGGTATGCTGGGAATTACTGATGCTAAAGATACCAGACAGCGTATAGACAGGACATCTGAGGCACTTGAATCCAAGGCCGTACATCTATCGGACGATGAAGCTGAGATCGCAGCTTTGCGAGCAGCCCTTGCCGAATGCTGGGCTCTGTGCAATACGCTGGCGACTTTAAGCTGTATACACCGTGAACGTCATAGCTACACTGTGGATACTTCAGAGGATACGTGGAAATCATGCTGGCGATTATGTCAAGTATTATATGACAGCCAGAGCGATAATTATGCATTACAAGTCAACCCAACACTCGACCTTTGCAAGCACTTCTGCCAGACATTGTTTGAAACTCGTGTTCAAAACGACGAGGGTTCAGATTCTGTTCTTCGCGTTAGCTTTGAGCTCAACAATCACCTCTACAATACACATGACCGGAAATTGCCTGATGCTTTTCGGGAACGGACGTTAGACTTTTACATTACGCTGTGCCACCGCCTGATGAAACAAAGAACGCTTATGTCAGAGACGGACACGCTATTGAGCGCCTGTTGGTCACTAGCAGAAATGCTTTTCAGCATACGTCAGAGTATAAAAGAGCGCAAGAACCTGGGTGAGGAATTGCTTGGCTCTGCCGTCCAGGCTTGCTGGGAATTGTGCGATATTTTCCGTGAAGGTTGGACATCAAGAACTCTACGAAGTTCTGATCGGGGAACTCCACGACCAAGTCAAGCAACTTTTATGCAGGCCTTCCAGCAGACAAAACAACCTGAATCCGATTTGAATGATGAGTTTATTGGGCAACGAGGGAACCCAGAAACGCCGACTACGATATTTGATGATACCGCGACTGTATCTCCTGATGATGCACCAGTACAGAACATATTCGTTCTCGGTGAAAGCTCAGGTCCAGCCTCTCACGCTACATGGTCGTCGAACTCGTCAAATATTTCGGGGAAAAGTCAAGCATCCGAACAGACATCATCCACAAGGACAGTAAAAACCTCATCCAAGGATCCTAATTTAACGATTGTCCTGGACCTAGTGACCCAAGCCGCAATAAATAGCGGTTTCCAGGATGTTGGACAACAGAGCTTTTCATCATTTGTGAAGTCGCTTTCCTCAGATGCATTCGGGTCGATGCCTTGGCAAGTTGCACTCCTAAAAAATTACAAGCGGCTAGTGGCATTCAACCCAGCATTTAGGAGTGTCGGTCCGTCCGCTCGGGCGAGTGCAGCTGATGTAGCCTCCGCTGTTACAGTAATGGTTCAGGGTGGGCAATACCCTTGGCTACGTGATCTCTACCGTCTCGTCTTCGGTTTCCACATAGAGGAAGCAGCAAGCCGGAAAAGCATGACACTTCAAATATAGGAGATTGGTCAATACAGCGTCCACATCAGTCACCTTTATTTTCAGAGTTACTACCCCTGTCTAGTGCAACCCGCAGCAATTGGCGCGTGGAAAGGCAGGTTGGCAGATGCTAGTTCTGGTTCTAATGAGACAAATATATAGAGGAAGGTTGGCAAGGGAATAACTCTCTTACTTTTACGGGGAGCCTCGTTGAGATCTTTTCCCGGGAATTTGTGCTTCACACGACTCTGGTTGGCCAACAAGGCCAATCGAAACAAACTTGTAGATTGATAGGCCTTCCAGTGTGGCGTACGGATCTATCATCACTGTATTGGCCGAAGTACCCATCACTCCACAATTACTGAGAACAAACCCCTAGTAATAGTATCTGAAGTCAGCATGACATGGCCAGCTTAACGCTGCCTTTGTCACCTTTTTGGACGAGGCTGCTCCCAGATCGAAGATCACCTTCGACAATGCTATGCATCTGTAACTGTTGATTTGATACAAATTAAAAATCTGCAAAATCTTGCTTTATGGGCTGCAATTTGGCATATAATTAGATGTATCTCGTTGGTTTGAATGAGCCGACTAAAAGAATGAAAGTTGTTGTTCCGAGTATCGGGTGGGAAGGGCATGCTGACGCTGCCTGGAAACCCAGCGGTATCGAGTATGCAGACTGGTATAACCGTTTTCGTGCAATTTGGCTTGGCAACAAACAGCCTAGAGCCATGTGACACCGTTGCATATGGTGGAAGTGGAACAACAGCTCCAAATGTCCCCGATACATCTCTCCGCACAGGAGCAAGACTTGAGTAATCAGATCGTGCACAGGCAGCTAGACACTTTGTGGGCATTTTATCCAGTATGTATGCATGCAATATCTCTAAGCCCGTCTGTACATGCCTCCCATCTGAAGTGGGGTTGTGACCGAATCATAGAAAAGGGCGAACTGTCGACAAAACACGGTCCCTCTGATAACATGACATACCTACACAGTACAGGATTAGATGGCGGGTGGGGCGGAAGGTCCAGTTACTACGGAGTACAATACATCTATCTATCAGGCACCAATCTGAATTTCAATCAGCAGCAATGCCAGGAAATTAGGATGTGGAGGTTGATTGAAGGGGACTAGTGTGCTACTGAACAGGGGGAAAGCTCCGCACCCCGCTCGGGTAAGCACGCGGGGAGACAGACCCTGAGACAAAACTGTCATTCTATCCAGCATCAGCTCGTCCCCCTCCAACGCAGCCATTATTGCTGAGGGAAGGGCGGCATCAGTCCCTAGAAACATTCTAATGCTATTTACCCAACCAGCTAAGCTAGAAGGAGAAAGAGCAATGAGGCCAGAAAGGAGCAGTTGGGGGTACAATGGCATTGTCTGTAACAAGTGCCATTTTATGCCAGGGCACTAGAAACAGCCAATGTTAGTTCCACTTCAGTCACGATAAAAGGCCAAGCAGGACCTGCCGTCGGCTCACTTTCTACCATCTCCATGAAAAACATGCTGGGAAGATTGAACAAAACACTGAGTCACCCCAAGGGACCACGGCAGTGACGTTGCGTCTCTCCACGCCCCAGGATCCCTACCCGGTGATTTAACCAGCACATTCGGAATTTCTGGCCCGGGAAAGCCCCTCGCCCCCAACACCTGCTGTCAAATGCCAAGTGCTTGGTTGCCGTCAAGACTCTTTATCAGCCAATAGGTCTCATGGCTGTTTACCCACGCCTGTACAAGAGGCGATTCTACCAGGTGGAGTGGAGCTGAGGCGATAAGCAATATCAAAATCGGTCTTTAACTTCAAACGGAAGATGCGCAGATGACGCTGGCTGGATAGGAATGTTGCTAGGCGTACTGCCCATACTCTTATCGACTAGCTTATCGATCGATGGCGTATATATTGGGCGGTATGGGAAATGTCAAGGTGAGGTCAATTCCTATCCAAATGCGGGCAGATTCATTCGATCATAACCTGGGTAGACAGGTCTACGCTGCTCTCCTCAAGCACCGTGAGGCCCACGGTATCCGCAACACTGCCATCACGCAGACTACTTCTACGCAGCTATGCAGCTATTCCCTTGGGGGTCTCTCGAGGCCTTCCGATTTTGATATCACTGGGAAGGCAAGGTGATCGGCGCAGAACGAAGAGCTCCGCCCTCACGGCCTTCCAGTCGGGCTACTTTCATTACTTGGGCAATGTGCCCTTCTTTGTGCCCATATCGCCACTTTTTCTTACCACATGGTCTCTCGTCCTCATGCATAATACCGATAACGCCAGTTGCCCACTAAAAGGCTAAACAGGCAATTCATGGTCAATGAATATGAGATTATTGTGGGACCTCCATGGGGTGACATGATGAAACTGACATTTCTGTGTTGTTCATCTTTATCGGTTCCACCACCGTCTCCTGTGCTTGGACCAATCTACAAATAAATGAGCGTGCTCCATATTCGAATGGACGTTCTTAAAGGGAGCTGTTGTCCCCAGTGATTTGAGTTGTTCTTCCCCCTTTCCCCCGGTGTCTGTGCTTCTACTTAACCTTACTGTTCCTTGTCGTCTTGACTGAAAGTTGAAGTTTTCCGTTGCTCTTACCTTCCAGACCTCACCTTTACATCTCCCTCTGAACCTAGGGGTACCTTTGCAAAAGGGTCTTTTAGAGGTCTAAAATACCCTTAAATCATCTCATTCTATATTTATCACTAAGCCTCTATCCTTAGCCGACCGTGTTTATCACGTGATATCAGGAAATAGTAGTTTACATCTCTTATTCCATCCTGGTAAACAAGTAAGCAGCTAATTTTACTTAGTCTCAGGATTTTAAATCTTCTTCTAACTTATATATTACTAATAAAAAAATAAAGCCAGCCTTCTAAGGCCATATATCTTCTTTATTATTTAAAGATAGCAATATACTTGATACTAATACTATTTAAATTATTATCTAAAAGTAGCTTAACAAAGTGTTAGAGGTACCTAGGGAGACATGGAACAATGTGAGGTTAGCCTTAGGGATCAGGCTAAGTCTTATATTACAAGTCTATATAGTGCAAACAATACATATATACAGATATAGAACTAATCACTGGACTTCCAGGATTTCTAATAACTAGTATTATAAATATTCTATTAAATCATCTAACTATACAGATTACTTAATTAGATAATCTGTTTTCTTATAAGTTTTATAATCCTGATATATTAAAAGAGTATATTATTTGTTAAGTTCATACCAGTAAACCAAAACGGAAATCCGCTGGCCATCTGGAGAATAGACAAAATAAAGACTCTGTGTCCCAACACTGCCCTCTCAGACTAGCTGTTTAAGATATATAGACTTTCTGACTCTATACAGTCTGCCACAGTCTCAGGTTGACCTTATCTAGACTTAAACTTATAATCTTGTATAGTCTTGATTTAGATATATCACATATAGGTATATTATATAAGATAAAACTAGCTTCTAAATTTATAACCTGTTAAGTTCATACCAGTAGGCCAAAACAGAAATCCGCTGGCCATCTGGAGAACAGACGGAATGAAGACTCTGTGTCCCAACATTTTTTATTATAAAAATATCTAAAATATTTAATATTCTTTCTCTTTTTATACAGGTACCTTACTCTAAAGTAATAAGATAGAGATTATAAGAATATTTATATAATTTATATAATCTTAATATATTTTAATCAAAAAAGTCTTACCGGGTGTAATTATATATTAATATTAAGTATTTTTATTATATTTATTATTAATTATATTAGACTGTTTTATCTGTATAGCCTTATTCTTACTATTTTAAGAAAGTAATACCTTATCTAAATAATATATTATAATATAGACTTTACTCTTCTAACTTATTTATAATAATATTATAAATCATAAATAAATAAAGAAATTAAATAAAGAGATTATCTTTACTTATAAATAACTTTATTTTACTATAAGTATAAAAGCTCTTATTTTCTATAGTCTATATAGTTCTTTTTCTACTTTTTCTTTATTAAATATCTTGTTTTTATCATTTTAATATAGGCAAGTGATTTTTTGACCGTAAGTATGGTTTATTTGACCGGCGCTATCCCCAAAGAGGCGCTAGTAGCAGGAGCCTTACCATAAGCAAAGCTAGCACCATCATATAATCCAGTAACATGTAATTATCTCAGCAGACAATTTAAATGAGGAGTCTTTATATCATATAAAAAATCTTACATTTTTCAATATAGAATCTAACACACGCAGTATTATATATTTAAAGCCACCTTATCATTATTAAGACCTTTTTTTATTCAATTCTAATTAATCAGATAACGAGAATCAGTATAATCTTATATATAAGATTAATTCTAATACCAATTCCAGAAGATTGCATGATTCTGATTACAATTCTGATTCTAATAAAGCCACTAAGCCTGCTACACCTGAATCTCTTACTAAGCCTACCAGTAAGGCCACCCACACGCGGATTTAAAAAGCAGAGAAGATAATAAGATACCTGACTAAGATAATTAATAGATAAAGTAATAAGATAATCAGCCAGGCAGACAATAGCAGCAGCAGCAGTGATGATAAAAGTTATCTAGATAATTATACAGTTAATATAGAGAGTTTATTCTATTTAAATTATCAGATATATATAAGATTGGAACAGACAAACAGGCAGAAAAACAGGCAGGCAATGCAGGCAGCCAGATAAAAACAGATAGACAAGACAGATAGAGAGGTCTCACGGCCTTACAGAGGCCTGAGTTATTCAAAAATACAATAAAAAATAAAAAAGATGTTGTTTTTATTTCCTCTTTTAGACAAGTGGTGCCCTTACCGGCGCTAACACTTCATTCGGAATAGCGCCGGTCAAATAAACCATACTTACAATCAAAAAATCACTTGCCTTAATATATATATTATTTATCCTATATTACTAGCAACAGTTTTCTTTCTAATTATATTATTTATTTCTTGTTATATATTTTGTTAACGTAATCCACGGCCAAGTGACGCACACGGCCGTGTGACGTAGTTTTGCCGCCACCTCAAATTATTCAATAACAACATTACTTCAACGCGTTACCATTCTATATCTATTAGATTAAAATGTCCCTTTCTCAAGAAAACCGATTACAAATGGCTATTTTAGCTATTAAAAATAAATAAATCCAGTCAAATCAAAAAGCTGCTGATATATTTCATCTATCAGAAGCCACTCTTCACCGTTGGCTTCGAGGAAAGAAATCATGTACATAAACACGCGCTAGCAGCCATAAATTATCAGTTCTTGAAGAAGAAGTCCTTGTTAAGAGACTGCTAGGTGCAGATAAACGAGACTTCTTAATTCAACCTGAATTTCTACGTGGAATAGTACAGATTCTATTTTACGAGCATA